AAAGGCCACGCTTTTTATATGCAGTATTTACAACGCTATCAATGTATACAGACCAGCTTAAATCTTGTGAAAAAAGTAAACCAAGATGCTTATGTGAAGATTCAAATTCTAACTGACACTGTTGAAAGTAAAGTTTAGGAAGCTCAAAATCTTTTTTTAGTGTAAAGAAAACAGCTTTAGTTTTTAAAGGGTTGAATTTGAGTAACCATTTTTTGGACCATTCGTCTAAAATATTTAGATCGTGGTTAATGTTATATTCTATACTGGCAACATTTGACGAAGAATTCTGTAGGGAATTGTCATCTGCAAATAATCTACATAGTGACAACATGTTTTCTGAAACATCATTTACATAGCTTAAAAAAAGTAGGGGACCAAGTACAGAGCCCTGCGGTACTCCGGCATTGATAGTCATGCTAGAAGATAAAATATCTTTATACAATACTTTCTGGCTCCTACTATTTAAATAACATTTAAACCATTCGTAAAGATTGCCGGATATTCCGTAAGTTTGCAGTTTAAAAAGAAGACCCTTGTGCCAGACTCTATCGAAGGCTTTTGATAGATCGCAAAAGACCATACAACATGACTTCCCCTCATCAATACTTTTAACTATACTATGGTATGTTTCCAGCAATTGGTAAACAGTTGAGTGGCCAGGTAAAAAACCTGCCTGATACTTGTAGAACAAATTATTTGCATGGAAATGGTCATACACGTGTTTAAATATTATTCTTTCCGTAATCTTACTAACGCAGCTCAATAAAGAGACCGGTCTGTAATTTGATGTTATAGAAGGGTCATCTTTTTTAAATAGAGGGAGAACATGAACTAATTTCCAGGAATCGGGAAAAGAGTTTTCCTTCAGAGACTTATTAAATAACATACAAAGCGGTTCTGAAATAGTTAGAATTGTTGATTTCAACATTTTGTGACTAATGCAATCTGGTCCGATAGCTTTATTTACTGGAAGTATTGATATTACATCAATTATTTCCTGCTTTTGAATGACGATTTCACTTAGCATATAGTTACACAATAGGTATTGGTCGGGTAGGTTGTTTCCAATGTCTTCAATATTCGATATAGAGGAGAAGTATTTATTCAGTGCTTCAACTTTTTCAAGATCAGTAAATGCAGTTGAACTGTTTCCGTTATCAGAAATAAAGTGAATAGGGGGAATATCTGATGAAAGTTTGACCCCAAAAGTGTCTTTCATTAGTTTCCAGTATAATTTGTTGTCATTTTTATTCGCATCATTAATTTGTATATCAATATTATCGTAGTAATTAGATATTGCATATTTTTTTCATATTATTCACTTTGTTTCTTATTTTTCGAAAGTTAGCCCAGTCTGAATCTTTATCAGTTTTTAACGCCTTATTATGTAGTCTATTACGTATTCTGATGTGTTTCCTTAAAAGTGAATCAATCCACGGTTTATCTTTGGGTCTAATAGTGATAGTTTTTTCAGGTATGCATTCACGAACACATGACAGATACTGTGAGGTAAAAAGCTCAGTGGCTGTGTCTATATTTTCTGATTTGCAAATTAATCTGTCCCAGTCACATGATTCAATTAAATTATTCAATTTTTCAATATCAGCATTTTTATACTGCCAAATTTTACGTTTATATGCACGATTGAGATTATAGTGTTGAGGAATTGAGATATAGGTCGCTTTATGATCAGTTAAAAGGGAGTCTATATTTAGAACACCTGACTCATTTGCGTCAACGTTATGTGTTGTTAGAATCGGGTCAATAAGTGTTTGCGTGGTATTCGTGACTCTCGTTGGTTCATGGGACTCTCGTTGGTTCAATAACGTAATAGTAAGCGCTTTGGATTTTCATGCTGGCGACCCGGGTTCAATTCCCTTTGTTTCCATGAAAGTTTCATCACTTTTTCAGCTCGACTTTGCGGGGTTTTTTTCAGAATCGGACGGAAGACCTCTCGTTGCTCGCAACGAGTTTCTTTTCTAGTTATTATTATTATACCATAACTTAGTAATGTTGTCTTCTTGATTCTGTTAAATTTCGATATGTTTTTTTTTTTAAAAAGAAGAAATATTAGGAGAATCCTATCTTGAAATGATCCTGCTAGATAAAATTATATGAACAAAAAAAAAAAAAAAAAAAAAAAAAAAGATCGTATACAGTTTATATACAGTTTTGACTTACCAAGTTTTACAACTATTCGAAACTAAGTAGAAAGTGAAAATTTCATACTCTTGTCATTTACTTCAAGGGTTGATCCAAAAGTAATGTTACAACTTCGATAAAATTGCTTCTATTTTACGTAAATTAACAATATTATAGATGGTTGAAGCTATATTTATTTCAAAAATTTCCTAAAAAAATTCAAATCATGATGATGTATACTTTTCAAAATAGCGAATTACATACCTTGTGCGATTAAGGTAGTCACCGCACCTAAATAACGTCCTATGACGGATACACGCCGTCATACATGTACATTAACGTTTCCCATTCGTTTCATTAGAAATATTTGAGATTCACGAACACATTCAACAAATTTCACTTTCTTTGAGAATTATTGGCACTTTTTGTAAACTCATTTTATTTATTATTTAGTCCTCTATGAAAATTCTTGGAACAGTACCATATGACAAACTTAAAGTTTCTCATCGCTTTCTTTTTGACGTTGAAAGTCAGACACCATTGAAAGTTTCCGTCCGACCTGCGATCTTTCGGTCTTCCTGTTCCCTGCAGATCAATCCATGACCCATATGACCCGCCTAAAATCGTTGAAAGTCTCTTATTTAAATTCTTTCTGCTGTGAGTTTGATTTATCATTGTAACTGCCCCTACTGGCGATTTTCCGATTTTAAAAGGAAAAAAATGCATTACAGCTCCTTTCGGCGTTTTATTTAATTTTGACTTCTCCATTGTTCAATGAATCAAATTTAAAACAACATTGTTTTTTACCAAAAAAATAGCAATGACGTCATCTAATTTTTAACTAACGGCTAGACAATGTCCTAAATGTTGTCTTTTTCAATTTTCTAACAATTTACATTTTAAAACGTGACGTTTAGTTGTCACGCGGCGACACCCTCTATGTTTAATGTTTTAAACGTATATAAAATGGATTCTATGAAACATTATTGAATGAAATTTTAAGCTTTGATTAGATTTATTTCAATACATCTTTTGGTACATAATATTTGATAATTAACATTTAATTTGCCAAATATTAAAGAAATGAACACAGTGAAATTACTTTTGGATAAACCCTCCTCTTGTCTTCGCCCGGTTTCGATGCCTATGCTATGTATCCAAAACACTTACATGTATGTATAATATGGATTTACATAATGGTATGACTTTCAATATAGATGAAAAGTAAAAAAAAATGTAAGTACTGTAAAACGTATGAAATAGAAAGCCTTTTCATAGTTTTGAAAAATCAAATTGCCCTCTTTTCTAAAGATAAATTCAATGCTTTAAGTCGTTCACTTTTAGCACCCCCCTCCCCCTTTTACTTCTACCTATTAACGACTAGAATTTTTAAACAGAAACAAAATAATGATATTAAAGAATTATCTCTCTATTTTTTCTGAAAGACTCATTTCCCTTTTATAACTTTTATCAAAACCTAAGATATTGAAATATTCAATATTTCATACCCTGCAGTGACCTCATCATTAAAAAGTTACCCAACAATGATCAATTATTTATCATACCATTTATTTGTTAGAACATTGATGAAGCTTTACATTTTTTTTCAAAGTGCATTAATATGGTCTATATTAAGGCACTTGGAAAAAAAAATTCAAAGTGCACTAGCTTGGTCCCAAATTTAACGCACTTTGAAAAAAATTTTCAAAGTGCGTTGTAACACTGCACTTTAAAACCTGAGAATTTCCATTATATAAACTAAAACTCCAGGATGAAAATCCCCATTTTTACTTTCCATGGTGATGGTAATATCATCACCAAAAATGAAATTTGTATCAATTTCAATTTATACACAAAATAAATAAAAATATTCCAAATCAAAAAGGAAATCCTTCACCACCAGACCCCTGTCCTGCTTAGCTAAACCACTGCCATTGAATGAATGAAATGAAACAAGAGTTCAGTCACTGTTTGTACTGTCTCTTTTCTTTTGTCAACTTATTAGACGGGTAAAAAAAAAATTGATGACAGAACTCCCATTGCTATTATCGGACTCCTCCAGGTAACTTTTGGACAATTCAATGGCAATGTTTTAAGTAAGATATACGCCTCATACTTTTCAATATGTAAAATTATCAGCCAGTTTTCGGCCCTAACGGGCCTCCAACAGTCTAATGATTTTACATAAATAGAACAGTATTCGGCATATATCCATTACATATTTCAAACTCGGCCTGTGGCGCTTTTTATTCCAATGCTCCCACTGCGTTTGATAAGCATTAAAGGCAGAAATAAAGACTATTAAAAACCTTAGGATATATCGGACTAAAATTTGGTATTGAAGGCACTCCTCTCTGTCTCCAACTGACGAACAAATAATTTTGAATAAATCAAATAAAACTTTGTACAAAGAAGAAAGTAGGTGTCACACAGAAAGAAAAGATAAAAGGACAATTTTCTATAGATGGACGTTTAGTAAACCATTATGTTACATGTAGGTAAAAACCGTTACTACGAAAAACACCATAGATCCTTGTGGTCATGGTGTGAAAACTACTTAATTGGATAAAATCCACTCAACGCCAATTGATAATTCGATGAATTCAAAATGCATTTCTTGGAATGTTTGATAATTTGCTAATCAAACGAATGATCAGAAAGCTTTCAGTTAAAATATCACAAATTGCAAAAAAACCAAAAAAAAAAAAAAAAAAAAAATCAGATCAGTAATTTAAATGAATGTGAATATTTAAAATCTTCTTATCTAAATTTTCATAACGACACTATACCCCCTTAAGTATTTCCCTGTTTTTGCAAGAAGTGGAAATCCGACTGATGAAGCGTAATGTGTTTTACAGATCCTCTTTACTGTTTAAGTTGTCAAGGCACAATTGCACCTCGTCACTGTCACACAGTGGTAAAATGTGAGGCTGACCAGGTAATTCGTTGTACATATCTTTTGACTTTTTAGGGATAATTTTTCTTGTAATTGATATTTTATTTATAATATCTTTTTCTCTATTTTAAGCAATATATTCAAAACCATCTGTTTTTTCATGCAATTGATTTTTACATAGGTGTGCTTCACAGAAATGTACACAACAGTAAATGGACTGACCCTATTTAACACCGGCTGTCGTAATCCATCGGTAATTTTGTAAACTTCTCTGTCTCCATGTTTGAATATTTATATACACTATTGATACAAGTACAATCCCTGCTAGAAACTTTGTTTTTTAATAAAGGATCAATGGCCTTTAGTAGCTTATTTCAGTGTCAATCTCTCCAATATAAACAACACAAATTTATGATGGAAAAAAAGGATGAACTCTTCAGAATTATTCCCAACTTGAATTTACCATGTATAGGAATGACCTGAATAAACTTTTCCACTGCCCTTGAAGTATTTTAATTACTTCTATTTCCTTATTAAATACATAAATTGCGTTAATTATCATCCGAAAATATTGAATGTTATATACCTTTAATCAAGTGCAACATATTCTTGTCTGTCTCAGAGAATGTATCAGGATAATTTAAGGGACTCCGACCCTCAGCTAGGAAGGACAACTCTTTAATTTATAATTGAATTCAAAAAGTTTTTAAATGAAGCTTGAAAATTAAATATTTTCATGCAACAATTTTCATTATATACCTCTCAATGTGCTTCAAGGTTCTTTGCAAAGCTCCATTAATCACTTCTAATTTCATATCATGTTAATAAACAATGGTATCTAAAAATGCTTTTTCGGGATAAAAATTTCTACTTTTAATTTGACCTTTCTGAGAGGTTCAAATTGAGGCACATTGAGAAAATCAGAAATAAATGACATGAAGTGAACGAAGAAAGAATGAACAGACACCTAAATTCCTATATTCAAAACATTTAACGCTCATAGTGCACTTGATTTGAAAATATCAGCCAATGGGCTGGTCTTTAAATTGGATGTGGTTGTTTCTCCTGGTATCCTACTTTTTATCAGAGATGTGATCTTGAATAAGCAAACAATCATAAATTCCTTATGCAAATTCATAAATGAAAAATGAATTTATGAATTTAATGATTGTTTTTCTTGAAAACAAATTTAAATAAATACCCTTTGTTGTACATTTTTTCTTGTATAAAGCTGTATAATATAAAATAAAGTGGTGGAAACTGTAAAAGTGTATAAGAAAATAGCGAAATGGTAAAAACCATTCACCATTATTTTATTAATGTAAAATGTCAAGAAAACGAAGAATAAATCATCTCATTGATATAAAAATAGAATGATCTTAAACAAGGCCAAACCACGAACCTCTGGGATCACTAGAGGCTGGATCCTGTGTATTGGAAGAGTAAACTAACTGTTATAAACATATCAGCAATCACATCAACCTTAATTTTTTTTCTTATCTTTAAGTTTTGCAACTCGACGTCTCTGGCAGAAGATCCAGAAGATCCTAATCTCAGAGTATTCCATCCTCACATCACTGAATGTAAAGAATGCTGCAATAAAAGTGTGTGTAATAACGATGGATGTGGTTCAAAAGGTACATGTACTGGAAATTAATATTTGCAATTTCATTACAATTTTCAGACAGGAATTATTCCCGTGACATCCACTTTTTTTAATTTAACATTAAATGCGTTACATCGAGTGGTCCAGGTGGCGCAGTGGTTAGAACATCAGTTTTAGAGTCACAGAGATCCATTATGGTTCGAATGTATTGCGGGGCAAGGCAATCAGTCTTTCTGATTAGACTGTATAAACCGAGGCCCTGTGTAGCAGTAGCTTTTGATAGGAAAAACAATAATCCCAGGATAGTGCTGACCTTTTCAATATTTCATTTAGGCATAATAAACATAAAAACAAGAAAAGAGTGCTCAATTTATCTTTCCACTGATGAAATCTATAGAAGGGTTAAAAATGGGAAAAAAATTGCATAATTTTAATGATCAGTAAATGTTATAATTTTCTAAAATATTATTATCTCCCTTCATTTTTTCTGCCGCCTTTACATACCGACACATATTTCTATGAAAATCTTCAAAGATGGGAATATTGTTAATATAAGAATACTTACAATTCCATATTTACATTTCTCCTTTATTTTCTTTTATAAAGAACAAATGGGTGTTTTCTGGCAATACATGTACACGTGTATCTTTTTGGTAATTGTTGTTTACTTTTTGTAGTGGTACCAAAAGCACAGCTTAACATAAAGGGTTTATTTCAAAATAGGAATAATCACATTTTTGATAACGACGTTAAAAGTTACATAATTATTGTGATAAATGAAAAACCAGAAGTCTCTGTCGAGACTTTACATGTAGCTTTGTTGGTTTATACTTATAACAAAAAAAAGGTAGCCTTTGAGACTTGAAACTATAAAACAGCAATAAATAGAAAAATGATCCTAGATTATTCACTTTTTGTGGCAAAATTGAAATAAGACTACAACTGAAGGAATAGCTTTTAATAAAATTAAAAAAAAAAATTCAATTCTCCTTACTATTGCAACATCATTCATCAAAATGAATTTAAAAAATGCAATAAAGACAATAACGTATCTTAGTGTAGTCTATCTGCATGCCACATTGTATTATAGTCAAACTAAAACTATTTGTACAGTGTATTTGCATTTATTTTGATAATTTAAGAAAATTTTATATTTTTAGTAACCGTGGCAACACCGTGAACTGAAATCAGAAATTGATATACAGAATTATGTTTCTAAGTGTAGTTTACTTGTGTACCAAGCTATATTGAAATCAGATCAAAACTAGAGAAGAAGTAGCATTTCACAGAATTTATATTTTAGTATCCATTGTCATCGAAATCAAAAATTGATGCAAAAAAGTATGCTTCGTAGTGCAGTCTTCTTGTATGCCAAGTTATATTGAAATCAGACCAAAACTGTAGGAGGAGAAGCATTTTGAAAGCATTTCACAAGTATTTTTACTTTTAGTAACCACGGCGAGATCGTTCATCTATACCAAAAAACCGATGCATAGAATTATGCATCTCGGTATAGTCTACATGTACTAGTGTGCCAAATTATATTGAAATCAGACCAAAACTGTACGAGGAGTAGCATTTTGAAAGAATTTCACAGAAATTTCTATTTTTAGTAACCACGGCAACATCGTTCATTGAAATTAAAAACAGATACAAATAACTATGTGCATTAGTATAGTCTACATGTGTGTGGAGTTATATTTAAATCGGACCAAAACTGTAGGAGGAGTAGCATTTTGAAAGCATTTCACAGACATTCTATTTTTAGTTACCGCGGCAGCGCCGTTCATTGAAATTAAAAAACCGATGCGCAGAATCATGTATCTTTAAATATTTTACATGTGTGTCAAGTTATATTGAAATCAGTTCAAAACTGTAGGAGGAGTGGCATTTTAAAAAAATGTTTACAGACAGACAGACAGACAGCTAGACATACATACAGACAGACGAACGATGGACGCATTACTATCGAATAAGCTCTTCTGGTCTTTGACCAAAGGAGCTAGTAAAGGGCATAGATATAAGAAAAAGGCCATATCATATTAGGGATCAGGTGCCTTGGAGGAAATAGCGGCCCCTTGCGACCGATCAGACCAACAGTGAGCCCAATGTATTCATTTAGAAGACATATATTTCAAAACTTCCCTCATCTATAATTCTTGGAATCAAAACAGGAACTGTAAACAAGCTAAATGTTAAGTCTTACTCTTACTTTCATTTGAAAATAAACATTTTCTGTTTCAAATCTTTTTAGTTATACATATATTTTATTATAACAGTAACCTGGTCCTAAGGGTCGTATCACGTCGAGTTGACAGGCGCGGATCGCGTCGAGTTTGATCTGATGATCCGCGCCTGTCAATGAGACGTGATACGGCTCTTCGGATCAAGTTACTGTTCAAATGATAAATTTATTATATGCTCCCTCATAACTAGTTAAAAAGAGCACAAAAACACTTTTAGATCAATTGTATAACATTTATCCATAACACAGAGCATAATTACAAGGGACTTTTTACAAGCAAGAAAAATTACATTATGTTTCTGCGTACTACGTCATCAGTTTCAGAGAGTGGTGATATGGATTCAGAAAACTGCAGTGTGGTGATCCGGAATGTCGGATCACGATGTCACGTGAGAGCATAAAATCAACAGTAAAATTGAGTGATACACAGTTGGTATATAATAAATGTAGTTATCTTATATACTTTCACAGGTTATCCAGTAAACAGGGGACCATTATGTTTTACTTGTCCACAAACAACAGATCCTGCGTTATGTGAAACTATCGATGTTTGCAACGAGGACGAGGTAAAATATTCCAAATAAGTATTAATTTTTTTTATTTTCCAATTTATTATATTTCTAGTTTGACTTTTAAAGAATTTATGCTAATGCAGATGTCCTGTGTTTCAGTTGTTCATTTTTCTTTCTTTGAATCTGTTTTAAAATTGAAAATACACATATATAAAGTTTTTATCCTAGATATATTTAGTAAAAAAAAAAATAAGGATAACGAATGATATTCGATTTCAAAAAATGCATTACCAACACACGTCGGGGTGGGATCAGGTGCCCAGAAGGAGTTTCCATTCCCTGTCCACCAATTACACCTACATGTACCATGCATGAGCACTACGTTTTGAACAGGTACGATGTACGTTGCCAATTCCAGTACTGAAAAGAACCTGAAATTTGAATTAAACACGTTCGTCAAAATGCAACCCGTTGAGAAGTATTTTTTCTAACAAATTAAAAACCACTATAAGAAAATGTGTAGTTGAACGTCAACTAGTCATAAACTAGCAGTAAACTAGTTTTCAATTGATTACTCGAAAACAGTTATTCACTAGGAATTGAATGATGCTTTTCTTGAAAACTGTCAACTGTTTTGCATTAAATGGTATTGACCATCAATTTACTGCTTTTCAAAAAGTTGACCACTGGTTGAATATTAATAGTTTGAAAATAAAAGGTAGAAAAGAGTTGACCATAGTTGAACACTACAATTTTTAGCTCACCTTAGCCGAAGGCTCAAGTGAGCTTTTGTGATCAAAAGTTGTCTGTTGTCTGTCGTTATCGTTGTTGTTGGGGTCGTTGTCTTAAATTTTTAACATTTTCTTCTTCTTCTTCTCAAGAACCACTGGGCCTATTTCAACCAAACTTGCCAAAAAAAATCCTTGAGTGAAAGGGATACAAGTTTGTTCAAATGAAGGGCCATGCCCTCTTTTAAGAGAAGATAATTATGAATTAATAAAAAAGTCAGTGGCATCTTTTAAAAATAGATTTCTCAAGAACCACAAGGTCAGGAAAGATGAAACTCATGCTTAATCATCCTCAGGTTGTGTAGATTCAAGTTTGTACAAATCATGACCCCCAGGGTTAGGGCGGGGCCACAATGGCTAAACTAAATTTTACATAGGAATTCATAGGAAACATAATTCTAAATCTTCTCAAGAATCACTGTTCCTGGGAAAATGAAACTTTTGTGGAAGCATCCTCAGATTATATATAGATTCAAGTTTGTTCTAATCATTACCCGCGATGGAAGGGCAGAGCCGCAATGGCTGATGAAAGTTTTACATAGCAATAAACATGTACATATATAGGAAAAATCGCATCCTCGGGTCGTGAGGATTCAAGTTTGTTCAAAACATGACCCCCGGGGTAGGGTCAGGCCACAATGAACGGTTTATTCCCTGAAAGTCTACTCATTATAAAATTATTTAATTATCACACTCAATTAAGAGGCCCTCTAAGGGGTACAGGTAGAGTTAACCAGTGTTACCTTGATGTGATTAGATAAATACTTTAATATTTACTGATAACTTTTGTACTCAAGTTCAAGTTTAGTTAATTCACCCAAACTAAAATATTTTTATAAATCTGGACTTCCTTAATACATGTACCATAAATAAACTTAAAATTATATACTTGATATATGTAATTGAAAGCACCGAACAAATATGAATGCGCCCATTACAAAAGGGCCTTATGTCATTTTTGCTAAAACAGAGAAATAACGTCATAAAGACGTGACGTTGCAGACTGACGGTGAACTTCGACGCAGATTTTTTTCACCACGTGTTTTGACGTTTGACGCATCCAGACTTTTTATCGCTGTTTCCAAGATGTGGAATTTATTTTAATGTATAAATTAATTTAATCAATACCCGAATCTCCTAATCCACCGACTTTAATAGGTATAAATAAAAAACATTTAGAACTGGTTTCTTAACAAACATATCTATTATATGAATGCGTCTCAAATACCAATTAATAGTTTTCCTATATACATGCATAATTTATAGATCGAAGCTGTAGACAATGTGTTTTTCTGATAGGATAATAAAACTGTATACTCTAGATAAATAAATTTTAAATACATATTTATACCAGTTTATGATACATGTAAGACAGGGGTATATTGTTAAAATATTGCAAAGGAAATTTGAGATCCCCTCCACCATTCAGTCAATGGTACATCGCGATCGCGTCGATCACATGCAATCATTGATCCATCGGTGCATACTGCTTAAACTTTTGTTAAATTGTTTGTACTACTGTTGAAACTAAACATACATCTTGTACATTTTACAAGTTTAGCAAAAAGTGTGTAAGAGCGACCTTAAAGATGTTTGTATTTTTTATTTATAGAAAAATACATAAATAAAATATAGGAGAGATAACTCTGATGTCAACAATCGATGTAACAGGGATACCAGAGAGGGACTTTTGCTCCCAGATTATAAAAGAGATCTTTTACGACCAAATAAAAACACTTTTAATGGTCAGCATAATTATGATTTTTTAAATAAAAAATATTGTTGTACTTTGGGAACAAGGTCCCGTTAATGTAGAAAAGGAAAAACAAAGAAAAAAAGGAAAACTGTAGTATTGAACAAATGTACTTTCTAATTTTTTTATTCAAATTTCTTATCCATAGCTTTTTTTTAACATGAAATAATTTAATAACGAATTTTATTTAAAAAAAATATACATGTATAGTATCTACCGTATCATGAATCATGATTAAATAAATTAAACTTTATAAATGTTGTTTTGCCTTAATTATTTTCTTGTTGCACTGAGACACTTCAATTTAGAGATACCGGTATTAAAACAAGCAAAAACATCTAAATGAAAAAAAAAGTGTTCTAAATGTTTTAACTAAAACAGCTAGAGCTGGTCAAGTAAATCTGATGAGAGAGAGAGAGAGAGAGAGAGAGAGAGAGAGAGAGAGAGGATGGAAGGTATAGATAGAAATATTTATATTGAATCCATTTATCTTATATTGAGAAATGTGAAACTCTACTGAAAAAAGATGAGTTTTGAAAACGAACAAAAGAAATGTGATAAAATACTGTAAAATGAAAGAAAAAAAAAATCTTTTTTGTTATCTAAACTACATATATGGCAATTAATTTTCAAGATCTCCAAATTTAATATCCATGTAACTCTATGGTACTTACGTGTTTTTTTTTTTCCATACAGAGTTCAAATGTTTTAAGCATTATCTGCAAATTAATTCCTAAAGCCATGAAGAACTTTGTCTTTCACAAAAGATCGATCAGCATTGAATGTCTCTTAACAGATCAATTACCATGCTAAAAACCCATTTCATCACGAGACTTATAATCTAATTTCAGTTATCAGTGTGGTGTATTTTGTTAAACCTGTCATCAAATTATGGATACATATCATTATACATGTATAAGCACATATTATGATTTTTTTTCATTTGATAGACAAAAAATCCTTATAAGTTCAGGGTCAGGTTTTATTTCTTCATGTAAATGCTGACATAGAATAAAATTCAATGCTGAAAATAAACAGCATAAAACCGCTCGGCATGCTTGCATTTTTTTTTTTTTTTTTTTTTTTTGGCTGCAGTGCAGGGGATGGGGGTGTCCTTTTATATTTCCGTAACATGTAAGGCTTTACAAGGCTTAGCATATCAAAGCTTCATACTCTGTAAAATTCACTTTATAAAATAAAATTAGAAAAACAAAATCATTAGAATGAAGGGGATTTTTTTTAAATTAAGTCATAAAATAATATGATGAATTTTTTAAGATGCTTACATCCCTACAAAAATCTGACATTTCAAAACTCAGCAAGTTGTTCACAGACAATTGTCAGGAAATACATCATACAAAACAGTCATATTTAACTGACTGTATATTTAGGCATGGATAATTACATGTTATTAATTTTTAACTCACCCCTACCCCAACAAAATATATTAAAATGCATGATTCAAGAAATATTTCAGGATATAGCTATTATTGATTTGTCTACTGGATATATATATTTTTTTTAAATTAATGAGAAAAAAAGAACGAACCAATTTTGTTCGAAATTCTTTTAAAAATTATTTATATGGTTTTTCTTTAATTTAATTCTATTGGTATGCCTCTAAAACCATCCAATTAAAAAAAAATAACCAGATTTTGTTAATCTTGGGTGTCATTATATACATGACAAACAAGATTGGATTCATAGCAATTTAGTTCCAGGCTCGTAGTGATCATGATCGCTAGGCGATTTTAAAAATGGCAGTTCTCAGAATTAAAGATACAAATATAAAATGAAGAATACCCGGTAATATGCAGCATTATTTCAAACCTAAATAAAAAAGTTAATACACAAGTTGTAGGGTTAATGGTCCTGGGTGTAGGAGAGACACCCCGCCTGTGCACCTAAAACCTGGGAAGTAAAAAATATATATATTTAATTATTTTAACTCGTGTTCACAAGAATTGTAAGTTTCTGCCATTTAGATTTTTACCCCCCCCCCTCACCAACGCACGCATAATCCTACCAATATTAATCCTAGGTCTGACAACCTATTGTGTAATTGAGTGCGGGTTATAATTCATTCATTTGCTTATAAAATTTCGACCTTTTTGATTGGTAAATATGAAAATAGTTTTACTGCTAGAACGAAAAATATTTCTTGTATCCTTTATATTTTTCAAACAGCAGTGTCATTTTTGACCCTATGCAGACAGACAACCTTAAAGATGCAGTGAATCAACCAAATTTCCCTTGTATTCACTGTCTATTGTATATCGTAATAACATGATATCACACTTCATAGTTTTTCTGTCTTTATATAAAATTTAGAAAAAAAAAACTATCAGACAAATTTTCACTTCGCAGTAGCATTTAGGTAGCGTATTGTTGTTTCATATATATTTTTTTAAAATTAATTTTCACATGTACGGTAACTTGAGATATATTGTTTTATGCTGAATTCAGGCAATAAAATTACATATCGACTTATCGAGAGCAATGTTTAAATTAGA